GTGCTTTCCCATGGCCCCGCTGCAGAGCTGCTGGCCTCCTGTAGGAGGTTTGTGTTGTAAACGATTCACTGCATTCTTACAGTTCTTCCCTCCTGAGTCAGTACTAATCCGCTTCTGGTGCAGATCTAGGGACTGTACTGTCGATAACAGGTTCAGAGCTTGGCTGGAACAGGACTAAGTTAAGAACCACTCTCAGTCCTCATATGAGTTTGGGGATCACTGTGCTCTGGAGCCAGATAAGCTGTTAAAGCCACCCTGCTGGAGGCAGTTAACATGACTAGGTACTTTTTAAAAGCAAAGGGGTTTTAGCCTATGGGTTTAGGCCAGCTTCTGCTCTGGGTAACCACATTATGCCTCACTGGCCTTCAAATTAGCCTTGGGCTAATGCATTGTACTTTGTGTGTCCAACCGAGTCACTTACCACAGCTCAGCTGACGAGCAGTAATTCATTAAGCCTCTGTAACTCAATCACTGCAGTCATCTTCCCAGTCTTAACAGGGCCAAATATATTCCCACTGTGATGTCACAAGACTACAAAACTCTTCTTTAAAAAAACATTGTCTATTGTTGCTCAGCCCTGATAAAACTTCAGGTCTTTGTCATCTATCCAGGCCAGCAACCTGTCTTTCCAAAGGCTGGTTCCACCTGCATAGCTCAGAGTTGTACCTACTTAAGGAAAACAGGTGACTTAGATGAATGTAAACCTCTCTTGTACAGACATGTGATCAAATGCAATTAAATTATGGTTGCTCAACAAGTAATTGCCCTTCAGCTGATGCAACATCACCATTGTGTACATGCTCGTCACTCTCCCAGCTCCTTCACACTTAACTTGCGCAATGTGATAGCCTTAGTAAGAAACTGTTGCCTGCTGAACTAATCTAAACCAGCTAGAGCTCCTGAGCCTCTGCTTGGACAATTGCTGCTGGGCAGTTTGACATGTTACTTGTTCTGCAGCTTCCTTCCTCCTCTGTATCCAAAAAGTCAGTTTAATTCTCCTCTTGCAGACTGTTTAACTGTAATCATCTTGCTTTGCCCTGGCATGGCTGAAGAGCATGCTCTCAACCCCTTTAACCAGCTCTTTCTCATCCCAAAAAACTGCCCTTTCTGTACCAAATATATACCTACACCCCTAGCTTTGTATACCAGTTGAACTAACCGACCAGTGGCTTTCAAACTAACTTTAATTAAAATGCTGCAAACTTGCATGTAGAATGACCTGTGTGGATCTGTTGCAAGAAACCCTGCAGAAGGCAAGCAGTCCGTACCTTCGATAGAGGAAGCGTGCATGCTTTATGGTAGGCTGGGATCCAACTGCATGGAAGGCTTTATAGAGAAATGTGTTGGTTTTGTTGGATTTTTTTTTCTTTTTTCTTTTCTTTTTAGCTGGCGTGGAAGAAAAGAGAGGATAGTTTCCAACAGGGAGGATAAAACAGTACAAATTAAATCCATTCTCTGGCCAGTGTAACAATTGCAATTTCCTGCTATTCCTTGGAAGCTGTACAACCCAAGAGGGAGATATTTCAAGACCGGTGTGTCAGGGATAGAAGCACATGCATCTGGTTATTTTTAATGGCAGCTCTGTCCCTAATTTTCAGTGCTGGTCTTGATGAAATGCCAGCTCTGTTTCATTAACCTTTTGTCAGTATGGCAAAGAATAAAAGGTGGCTCACAACATTAGCACCTGAGATAAAGCTCCTTTTCCCAACAAGCTATTGGAGGTCCTTAGCTATACCAGGCAGAGTTTTGGGTAGAGAAGGGAAGGAAGGAAAAAAACTCTCTATGAAGGCTTGTGTAACAGAACCTATACAAGTCTCATATCTGCAGTCTTCATTACTGTCTGAAATGTGTGTTAGAACCAAGTTTCAATCAAGGTAACCATTTTCCTGTGTAAGCCAAGAAAAATATTGGGTTTGTTTTCAGACCATTAGGAATAGTCTTTCGGAACAGCCCTGCTTTCCTTGCTTCATATGAGCTGCTTAAAAAAAAAGAAAAATCACAGTTTCACAACCATGGCAGCTGTGAGCTGCACATGGGTTAGACCCCGACAAACAAAATCTTTACTGTGCCTTGGAAGAGCTTTCTTAGGGCCCAAGACTTAATCCACCACCACAGCCGAAAGATTAGTGCTCCAGTGGTAGAGCTGGGCAAAAGACAGGATTTTTGTTCTGTGAGAAATGTGGTGGGTTGAGGGTGGGAAGGGGGAGAAAACACAAAGACGAATTACTTCCAAAGCTCTGGTTTGCAGGGGTGCCAGTCCTAACAAAGCAGTACAGTGCAGCTCCAGCCCTCTCCTCCCTCCATCTCCTGCTTTGCAGCTACGACCAGTTCCTACCAACCACAGTCACTGTCAGAGTTCCTACCTCCTCCCTCAGCTTTTTACAGAAACACAATCCATCACTGTAAGCCCTGCTTGGGAGACAGCAGTCTGAACAATGTGTTCATTCCGGCTGGTGGCTGCTAGTTATGGGAAGACTCTTGGTTGTGCTGTAGCAGTTGCATAGCTCAGCACAGCTCTTGTGCATCCAGAAGGCTGCTTTCAGAGCCCCAGTTTCCAAGTGGTGAAAGACAGAGCTGTTTGCTCCCTGGGCTGCAGCCTCAGGAGGTTTGGATTTAGCTTATCATCTGAGATCAGGATCACTGCTCTTAAAATGTCAACAGTGAGCTGTGGAGGAAGAGTAGGGGGGGAACCTTGCCTAAAATTCAGTCTATGCTACTAAATACCAGGTATTTGCACAGAAGAAAGTCTTCAGGTGAGAGGCTTGCTTTCTGTGAAAGCATTTTAGTTCTCTGCCAGGTCCCTGTCATCTTGTACCATGGATCCCAAGGCCTCTTGCCAGGGGATGGCCCACCCAAGCTGGTCAAGGGCATCACCACAGCATTGCCTGACTGGGAGCACTGGCCTATGCTGCAGGCTGGTACCAACGGAGCAGGAAGGACAGGTAGAGCCGTGCCAGGTAGTATCTTCCTTGAAGGCCTCTACTCACCAGCAGCTCTGGCGAGCACAACCACCTTGCTGGTCTGGTTGAGGAAAATCAGGAATGGTTGTCACTGGTGGCTCAGAGGCTGCCATACAGGGGGACCTTCATCTGGGGGGAGAGTTTACACTATATAACCACAGGAGAGAAGAGGAGGAGGAGGAGCAAGTGAGGGCAGAGATATCCAAAGCTTTGCTGGTCAGGGTGAACGGGAGCACAAGGCTTGGTGGACTCCTAAGCCAGACTTGCTGCACGAAGCAGAGCTCTGCCAGGCTTCTCATTGCTGAGGGCCTGCTCATCAGGACAGACATTCAGATGGCCAGAAGAAAGGGCTTTTCTTTCCAGGCAGTGATTGTGACTCTGCATTCACAGGGGATGGAGCCCTGTCTGTTCTGGGCACTTCCAGCACATACAGAGCAGCTCAGGACAGCACAGCCCCTTTGGCACAGGGCTCTGGTTCGGTACCTCCCTGGTGCTGCCAGGGCTGTGACACTGCAGCACACGTGCCTGCCAGGCCACCAGCTGCAAGCCACTTGCAGAGAGCATCCCAGGGATGAGCATAGCTGAGGGGGAGCCCTGTCCTGTGGGCTGCTTTCACAGCTAGACAGAGGGACTGTCAGGAATAAGCCAAGTGTTCTTGCAAAGGAAGCAATCCAGGGCTGGGGAAAGTGAATTACATGAAGAATTAACACCAGAGATGCTGGGAATACTGAATCTGTAAGCAGTGGTACAATCCTAGCTTCAGCTTCTGGCATGTTTCACATCTAAATATTCCAACCCTAACTACAAAAAGCAGTGAGGCTCTATTGCACGCCCAGGTCAGGGCAGACTGAAAGAAACGGCTTCCATTTAAGTGCAGTCAACTCCAGAAAGGGCCCTGGGTTGACCAGTACTTCGCATAGAAATAAGTAACCAGCTTGTGTCTGGAATGCCGGGTCTGGAAGGGAGCCTGGTGAAATCCTCAGAGTCCCACCTGTTTGCACTATAGCTCAGTGCATCCAGGTCTTGTGATTTGTCTTATCACACTGAAATGGGGACAAGTGCAGAGAAGGGTACTGATCTATTAGAAAATCCACCAAGTAAAAGCAATTGGCTGGAAACCTGCTTTCTTGCAAATCAGAAAATTTCTTGTCCACAGCGTTTAGCACATTCAACAGCAATGCCAGCACAAAAAAGCCAGGAACTAGAGGCCTGTAATTTGCCTTTGCCATCTCTGGGTTACTGGAGTTTGAGTGAATGTTTCATAAGTTTCATTGTGGTCTCAAACTGCAAGCCAGGTTCTCCAGGACATCCGCTGCAGGCAGGGATTTGGGCAAAGAGAAAAAGAGAGAAGCTCTTGTTTGTAGAGCCTGGGCCAGGTCTTGGGTTGAGGTTTGAGTGAACCTGGGCCATTTGGGTGGGACCCACTGAAGCTAACAGGCTGTGTGTGGTTTGGATTCAAATCTTGGCAAAAGCTCTGGCCTTGAAGAGCACGTCTTACTCCATGAGCCTGGAAGACCCTTCCTGAAGCCACGTTAAGGGATACAGTGAAGGGATGGGTGCTGAGAGCAGCAGCCCCTGGGCTTGGTCGGTGAGAGAAAGCCATGGCTGTTCTGAGCTCTCCTCTCCCTGTATTTCTGCCCTGGTTACAGATCTCAACTCTTCACAGGCCCAGGTATTCATCCACAGAGATGCAGGATTATTCTCAGTCCTTGAAGATATGGGGCTCCTTCCCAGCCCCTAGAGGGGGAATAATTTCCTTTTACTCATGTACACCAAAGCAGCAAAGTTGGGTTTCTGTATGGGATGGGATTTAGTCACAAGGGTGGAGCATGGTGCTACCTTGAAGCAAAATCCTGAAGCTGAAGCAACAGGGTCTCATCAGAACTGGCATGTTAGGGCAGACAAGAGATTTAGCAGTAAATGTGGGATTATACAAACCATGGCAAGCTCCCATCAGAGCATTCTTCAAGGCTGAAATGACCAGCTGCAAAAAGCATCCATATAGCAAGGGATGCATTTGTGAAGATGTGCACATCATTTTGGCTTTGGGTAGGCTGGAGGGATGTTTTTCTCGTAGGCTGAGAGTAACAAAGAGGATTAATCTCAGAAGAAAAACTGGGGCACTATGTTGAAGTAGGTTTTCATCAGTTGTGTGCTATTGTGTGTGTATATCTCGGGTTTACTAATGATTCAAATGAAAAGCAATCAGGAGAAGTGCTTGGAGAAGGAGATTTTCCTGTATTTATTTTGGATGCATGTCCAGTGGAAAAATATCTTCCCAAGCATTTAGCTTGGCGACATGGCCTGTTTCATTTGGAGAACAATTGATGGTGATGATGAGTGGTGTTAGATGTGATCGCTGTTCGACAGCTTTTTGACTTGCCTGCAAGTCAAAGCAGCAAATTCCATGTGACTGCACACGTGTGCTGAGGAGAGGGTGGGGAGACAGGGGCCACAGACAAGCTGCCTGACGTGTTAGATCAGGTCTTCGCCAAACTCTTTACCAGGCACAGCTCAGCTTGTTAACACATCGCCCGCTTTTGCAGCAGTGTCTTGCTGTGCTAATCCTGAGTGGTTTGTTGACTGTGCACTCTTCAGTTTGATGAGATACCACTGGACAAACACTGCCCTCAAGCTGCGGGTATACTGCAGAGACAGGTTTAAGCTGTTAGTGGAGAATTTGCCAGTAGCTCAGTGCATGGTGCATTACAGGAGCAGACTGCTCCCACTGACTTTCAGTTTCCAAAATGCAGTGAAATGTATCCTCAGCTGATGCTATCCTGGCACCATATTCACCCCTTCCCAGAGCAGCTGTACCACCTGTAGCCCTCCCCTCCTCCAGCTCCAGGAAGGTTGAAGGGAGTGATATGTGCAAAACCATCCTTAGCTCCCTGCACTGGCCATTGGCAACTCAGCAGAGGGGGGCCATGAGGAAGGTTAAATCAGTCAATACCATTTCTGAAAAACGAACAGCCATCAGCCACATTCATGCCCTCCCTTGCTGCAGCCTTCTCCAAAGAATGCCCTCTGGTCTCAGTGGCACAAGGGAAAAATCCAAAGCAACTTTGCTGAAGTCTTCAGAATTGCTCTCAGAGTAACTGAGAGGAGAACAGGGGCCCCGAGAGTTTCCTAAGCTTCACAGCCATAGCCACAAGGCAAATAAAATGAGATTAACCAATTACAATTAAAATGAGAGAGAACTGCTTTTGACAGTAATTTTGAATTTCCCCTAAAACCACTTCCAGCTGTGACCTCTGACTCGTGCAGCGTTCGCCTGAGATCTGCCCCTAGTTGTTTGTTATAACTGGTGCTTTCAAGGACATTCAGTCCTGTATAACAAGAGGTTTCCTAGGAAAAAAAAAAAAAAAGGTGAAAAACATAAGAGGAACTAACACAGGGCATCCCTGCAGTGAGGCCCAGACGTGAGGGCCCTCTAGCAAGGAGACAAGAAGAGCCAGGCAGTCTCCAGTGAATTAAGCAGGGTAGCACTTACAGGGAATTCCCTCAGCCCCACAGTGCTGTCGTGCAACTGTGGATCCCATCCTGGAAATATCCTAATTCACGTCAGTGCAGAAGAGATCTCTGTTCCCACAAAGAAGCTGGCTATGCATAGACATTGCCCTTGCTTCAAGAAGACAGCAAGGCTGTGTCTACAAGATTGGAATTATCATTATTCTTATCTAGATGTATCAAAAGGTCTGTTAGGCAGCAGTGCTGCACAACCAGCTCTCATCTTAGAAGCATCCAATCCTTTCAGACTAGTTAATTCCTTAAAATGAGTAGGTGTTTTTGACTCATTCTTTGGCCTGTGCTACCATCCTCTAGCAGAATTTCTCCAGGTGCTGTTCAAAAAACAATCCCGGAGGAGGAGATTTTGGAGGACTAGTGAGGGAGGAATAATATAAGTGGGTGTGGGTTTTCACCCAAATATTATCACCAGCCTGCAGTCTTCTCTCAGCCAGTATGCTGCTGCTTCTTCCCATCAGGAAGGAGACTAGAACTTCCCTTTGGACAAGATCAAAGAACACCACTTCCAGCAAATGCTCTTCTCATTTCAAAAAAACCCTGTACTAACAGCACTCACAAATTTCAAGGCTCAGCTCTTTGGGCAAGGGTGTCTGCATTTAGTAGGAGATCAGGTGTTGCAAAAGGAGGAGTTGGGGCTGGGGTGTTTGTTAGGAGATGCCTGCAGATTTCTGCATGGGCTGATAAGTGAATAGCCTCCACTGCCTGCCTCATCCGTGTGTCTGCAGGCATGTTCGCTACCCGTGAGCCATCCGTGTGCTGCATTTCTGCCATGCTAGCATTTCCCCACTCAAGCCTGGAAGGAGGCTGGGGACGTGAGGTGACACACTTGAACTTCCTTGAACTTCCTCCGTCATGCGGTGCAGCAGGATCGATTTCCCGTGCTGCAGGGAGACGGAGCTGTAAGAACACTGACTTGAGCACTGATTAGGAGTGTAAAAATACATATAAAGTTGCTATTTTTACTCTTCAGGCACAGAAGGTGAGAGGAAGAAGAGATAAAGGTGCATCCTCTAAAGGCTGCATTACCTGAGCCAGACAATGTATTAGATTATTTATACTTTATTTATACTGTGATCTGCCAGCTTTGAAAGCCTTCCAGGTGCTGTAGCACTCTGCTGTTGAGGTCAGTACCATAATCACCTTTCTTTGTCATTTCCTTTGTCATTATTGCTTTTTAAGAAATGCATTATCCTTTAGAGATGAGGTCTGAAAGCAATTTTGGAGACAGAAGTGCTGTTTGTTACCCCCACACCAGTTATATTTATTTAATTTTGAATGAATCAACTGGTATTCAGTGCTGTCACCCCTGGGTGACATTCAGAACAGTTTTGTATAAGCAACTGTCTGTCCATACTCAACAGTCTAGTATCTTTGTATCTGCAAACACCATTGTTTGTTTTGTGAAGTACCTGTGCTTGCATCTGAATTGCTACAGTCTGTTCTTAAAAAATTCCCATGATGGACATTTCTCTACGTAGCCCATCTCAGAGCTTTCTCTTGGCTTTTCCTACAGTTCTGTCTAAAATTTCCTTGCCATAAATTAAGCTGATTTCTTCTTGCCCTTCCCATGGTTCTGGAGAAGAGTTGCTATCCCTTTTGCAAATATTGAAAAATCATTATCATGTTCCCCTCATTCTTCTCTCTTCTAGACTAAACAAATTCACTTCCTTCCACCTTTCCTTACAGGTCATGTTTTCAAAACCTCTTTATCATTCATTTTATTCTCTTTGCACACACTCAAGTTAGTCGATTATCTTCCTTAAAACGTGCTACCCCGAACTGAGTGGATGGAGTCTCCCACTACAGGGCAAATCTCTTCCAAACCTTTTATCAACTTCATGACATCCTGTTTGGAGTTGTAGCCTACACAGCCAGACAAAGCATTCCCAAAATTCTTTACTTTTTCAGCTATGTCTTTGGTGATATTCAGGCTAAATCTTAGGGCACCATTAGATGTGCTCTTTGTCTTCAGTTCCAAGTCCCTCCAGTGAGTCCCAGTAAGGGGTACTGCAGGTGCTCTTAGTTTAGTTTTCACAGAGCAAATCAGTATGGCTGAAACCAAAACAAAAAAGGGCATGTGTCTTAGTCCCTCTCTCTGCCTGAGTCTCCCGTCTGTGGAAAAAAATAAAAGGAGGGAGTAAAATATATCCTGGATATACTAAACAGCCCCATACCTGCCTCATGAGATCTTACAGCCCTTCAAAATATTTGCTTAATCTCCCAGTATCTTGGCAGGGTACAGAGGTATTAGCGCTCCCAGGTGTTCTTATCCATTGATCTCAAAATATTCTCCTCCTTGTTTTAAACATGGGGAGACCGAAGTGTTTGGAGGCTCAATTTTCATAGGCAACAAAGGTCCCCTGCTCCATTTAAAGCCAGTGGAAAAAGTAGATTGCAAGCCAACTGGAGAATTGGGCCTTAAGTGACATGCTGAGGTCCCCTCAAAAGTTAATACCACAGCCAGGAGTCAGAGCCCAGGTTTCCTGAGTCTGTCTAGAGTCCGATGAGCAGAACCAGGCTGCCTCCCACTCAGTCGTATAAACACACCCAGCCCAGCTGCATGGTCAGATCCATGGTGTAATTCCCCAAGTCAAACCTGCTCGGTCATGGCAGGCATCACAGAGTTCTGGGTTGATCACAACCCGCTCACTAACTGGAAATCTTCTTGTTCGTCTAGTATTTGGTTGCAAGTTGCATAGCTGAAAAGCCAGTTAAAGAAAACAAATAGCACCTGCGCCAAGCCCTGCCGTTCTCCAGCAGTAAAAGATATTAATAGTTTCCAGCTCTGTATTTTGCATGTTGGCTTGCCAAAGCTCACCTGCTCTCTGTGAAACGGAGGCTGCTCAATGCTGGTCGCTGAACAAAAGGCTGGTCTGTAAAAGACAAATCTGGGGGAATTTTTTAAATTCCAAAAATAGACAAGGGGAAAAAATGTGCCAGCAAGATGGATCTTATTTCATTTCCCAAATCCCTCTGGTCTCCAGAGTTCATTCTTTGCTCTTAATGTTTCATGCTATGGCTTATTTTAGTCTCCTCAGTGGAAAGTTTAAAACATTTACTTAAAGGCAAAGCTTCAGCTGGCATGAACTGTCACAGCTCCCTTGGCTTCAGTTGCCTTCAGCAGAGAAGCTGCCCTTTAGCAATTAAATTGCTTATTAGAAAGTGGAAAACTGCATTGCTTGAAATCATCTGCAAAGACTAAGGAGAAAGGAATATAAAGGAAGGGTCCACAGTGTGGATTTCAGCTGAGAAACAGCCTTTCCACATGGGCAGGTGCAAATACAGAGCACTCCAGGCACACACTAGTCTTCAAGTCTTTCCTCAGATCCCCCTCCAAAGTGGCTGCCAGTCCCCCCACAGCAGCCCTGAGGTGGTGCCATATCTGCTGGGATGAAGGAATGGAGGCTGCAAGCATCTCCTCCAGGACAGTACAGGCTGCTGAGCACCAGCAGGCTGGAGCCCTGGAGCCATGATAAATGGCCATGCCCAAACGGTGCTCCTTTGTGCCAGGGAGATGTGTCCAGAAGCACCAAGGGGGTTCTAATAAATGTTTTCCAAACTGTTGATTAATTGGCGAGAGGTCTGACTTGGAACACATGAACCCACTTGCTACAGCCTTTGGGCCAGCCTGGAAAGTCACTGTTTTAGCCTGATGGCCAGGGTAGAGGCTCCCTCTTACACCTGGCAAGTGCCAATACCCCATCCAGGAGCCATTCCAACTCCAAACTCCCATCTCTGCTGGCCTGTTTTGCAGCAACACAGTCCTGCCATCACTGTCTAGCTCCCTGCTCACCTCCATGCTGTTTCCTACCCTGCTGTGTTGGTTTTGTTGCCTTCAGAAAACCATCATGTCAGGGCATGGCAGAGTGGTTCAGGCATAAAAGCCTGTCTCAGAAGTATCAGCCATCCCTAATGAGTGAGTCCCTCTTCCTCTTCCCTGCTCCTGCGTTGTCTCTCCCTGCTTTAGCACAGCCCTGGTGATCGTGTAAGGGGAAAACAACACTGTCATGGTTGCCATTCAGCTCGGTGCTGTTACAGGGACCATCTGCAAGCTCTTCTTTTTGTTCAGTACATCCTAATGAAAAAAAAAAAAAAATCAGCAAAGGTGCAATATGTTTTTCTTTACTGTCAAGTTTAACAAACAACAGCCATCTGAACTTCCACCATTTTATGATGTTGGGTTCCTGTACTGGTCTTGTGCATCCTGACTTAAATTGAACCAACCTCACTGGTTCTCCGGTAAATCACGTCAGCAGGGCTATTCCAGATCGACACCAGCCTGACTAAGACCAGAAGAGACTGCCAAAGCCCAAAGGATGGGAACAGTTATTTTGCCAGCACCCTGGCTGGATTTGTGTCTCTGTAAGAATGCGTACACTTCCCTTTGCTTTTGCAATGGCACCAGCGTGTTGACGAACTGCAGTGCTGCTATTTATCCCTTAATTACTCCCATGACTCACATTAAAGTAACAATTTTCCATAGAAACAAACACAAGCAGAGCTGACACCACTTGAACTGCTTTTATTCTGAAACGCGTCCTGTTCTTTGGGGTTTGAGGGTGGCAGCTCTGGAGGCTGCTCCACATTCCTGGTGCCGAGGTTTGCCAGAGTGAAGAGGAATGAGGCTCACTGGGCACTGCCTTGCTCTGGGATGGAGAGGAGGGGTTACAGCTGCCGGACTGCAGGCTGCATGGGGCTGAGGACCACTCAGCACACGGTGATTTTGGGGGAGATGGATGATAAACATAGCTCAGGACAGGGCAGTGTCTGTCCCCAGTGGTGTCCTGGGTGTTCTTAGGACACATTCATCTGCGAATGTTCTTGTCTGGACACTCCCTCTGTTTGATTTACCCATGGGCATCCCAACATGGGCTGCTGCTCTGTGTTTTTACTTGTCTTGAGAGGCTTGATTAGGGAGAGCAGCATGAGTGCCATCCCTGGATCTTACCTGGGGATATTCATCCTGTTCTGTGCATCGTATCAATTACAGGTACCACAGCTGGGTAGGATCATCCTTGGCTGAGGCAGTTGTTTAAAATAACTAACAAAATGATTAGCTGGCAGATCACAACTTCATCCTTTGGGCTAACCTGGCATGAGTTCCTATGTGGACTCCTTGTGTCAGATCCTCTGAAGCTCTTTCACTGTATTTGACCCTTGTAAAGCAGTATCCATATGGGAGACTGGATCGTCGAGGGGTCTTTTACAAACCTGCCTGCCTTGCCTTGGCACTAGATTTGTCAAAAATCACCCTACTTCTATTTGACTGTGGAGCCAAGAGAAACAAGGCAGAACCCAAGCTGTTTCTCTGATTTTTCTACTAGCAGCTGCCATTATTTATAGCAATTAGATGTTCCCGGTAATGGTGTCCCAGTGCCTCCCCATCCTGTGGGGCAGGAGCAGGGATTCCTCATTCCTCAGAGCTGTATGTCTACCTTAAAATCATTCATCAAAGGGGCCCCTTTACAAAAACTGCTACACAGTCATGTAAAACAGGCCATTCCTGCTCCAAAAATGCTCCTAGCATCATGGAAAAGGCAAGAGCAAACAGGTGGATGGGGAGAGGAGGGATGTGGAAGCACAGGGTGATGAGAGCAGCAGCACCCAGGGCCAGGAGGTTGTCAGAGACACCTGCTTTTCTTTGCTCTGGGTTTTGCTTCACATGCTGGGGAAAGCAAGGCATGATGGAGCTGAGGGAGAAGAGCCCTGGAAAGCTTGAGTGGGGCTGGCTCCAGACAAGGCAGCATGATGCTTTTGCCATTGCATGTTCTAGGAGATTGTATGATTTGGTGTAGAGTCTGTTAGAGTTGGCTGGTAACTTGCTTACACTTCGTCTGTGCAGATAAAGTTGCCTCCATATTATACTTCTGTTCTCCACACACACACCTCCTTTAACTTTGCAAAGTGTGGGGTTTTTTTTAAAAAAAAAAGAAAATTAAAAGTGCAACTTTGGCTGTGAAACCTTCCCAGGAAATGCCTATAGAAACTGTCTGCACAGGAAACATCTACAAAGGGAAGATGGGGGAGGGAGGCGAAGCCGAACAGACCTGGATTCTTCGAGACCACGTGCAGCTTCTCCCTCTCCAGTTCCTCGGGGCTCTTGGCTGTTTCTTCATTTTGCTTCCCAGGCCCCACACATTACAAATGTCTTTCACGAGGGCTTGTCAGCCTCCTGCCATGCCAGAGTCCCATCAAGTCTCTTCTCTGAAGAAGAGACTTGTAAGAGCTCAGTAGCCATGACTCAAGCCAGATTTTCAAACAGGCCCAGCACTCAATAAACCGCTGGGCTATTCTGAAAGTCTGGCTCTGAGGAAAGCCTTTATTTTATTCCTTTTTTTTTTTCCCCTACACATTGGAGTTGAACTAGGACTGAATCAGTAACATAAACATTAGACTGGATAGGCTGAATATCTCTTCCCTAGAGGACTTCTCTCTTTGTCTGCCTTCTTTCTCTCTGCCAAGGTGCTGATAACCAACATGTGCCTTGTGGAACCATCTCCCACAGGACTGATGGAGCCCTGTTCCATGGGGATTTTTCAACCCAGGCTGCAGAAAGGACTGGGAAGGAGAGAGTTGGAAACAAGCCCTCCCTGTCACAGAAAGAGAGGGAGCAATCAAACAGATCTTCCAGCAGGCCGGGCTGTATTTAGGCAGTGCAAGCCCCTACATTGTGCCTAAACACCTGAAGCTTCCAGGCACGAGGCCAGGATTTCAACTTCCCCTTAAACAAGCGTATTCTTGAGCCAGACAGGGACTCTGAAGAGTATCAGCTGACTAAAAGTAAGGAGAGCTACCTGTGTGAGCGGGGAGTGGGATTTGCCCCTGTTCTCTTTCACAGTCCCTTTTGAATCAACTTTGAATGGTGGCAACTGAGAAGCACCCACCAGAGAGGGACCAGGGCAGGAGCAAACAGGATAGGAGAGATACCAGGTAGGGCCATGGTGCCCATCACCTCCTTTCTGTCACACACAGGACTTGTGTTAGTCATGGGACAGCCCCTGTCTGACTGACCACAGCAGTGTCGTGGAGGCTGTTCCCATGGGCGCAGGGATCCATGCAGGTACAGCGGCATCAGTGCAGAGAAAAAGAACAAATGGAAGCAAAGGAACTAAAAAATGTCTCCCCCGTGTCTCCCCGATGTCTCCCCCATGAAAACTTTCTCAATCCCTGTGTCCTACCGCAGGGTTATTGCCTTGACTTGCTTCACACATTTGCCAGCAGCAGATTCTGCTTTCAGCAAGTGACTTTAAAATATTCACCCTTTTTTGAAGCAAGAAGGCAGAGAGAGAGAACTCCCTTGTTCCTTCTCCAGGTTTAACAGAGAACTTAGTTTGAGATGTGAAGCACAAATCAGGGCACCTTCACTCTTCCACTTGAACTGGACTATTTAGCTTCAACAGACTGCAGTCTCCCTTGTACCAGGAGGTGGCTCTGCCAAAGGCCCTTGTCCTCCCACGATGCAGAAACATCAACTAAATAACATCTACCTAAGTTTTCTTTTCCCTAGAGATTGGTGTGGGGTGACACCAGCAAGTGGCTTGTGTTTTCACAGGTAGGGGCTCCAATCTTGTTCCAGAAAAAGAGCTTAATTGCCTCTTGCTTCTCCTGAATCAGGGACATCTCTTGAGCCCAGCAACTTCAAAGACACATCCCCCGCACTCTATCATAACAACATTTAGAAAGCAGTTTGAATTTCTTCCAGCTGGCCTCATGTAACAGAGATCCCTATCAGCACCCGGGAGGAAAGAATTAGCAAGAAAAACAAGTGTCTCTTTAAACTTCAGAAAGAAAAAGAAAATGCAAAGAAAAAGGCCATGTAAAAAGCATAGATGTAGCCCAGTGACATCCAAACAATGTGCTCTTTTCCTAGGGTTGTTTGAGGTAGAAAGAAGCCTGATGATTGGATTTTCTTGTGTCAGCTGGAGACTTTGAACACTAATGGCAGGATTTTATCAAAGCCAGATGCATTTGCACAGGTACTGTCTATACAACCTCCCTCCTGGCCGTTGGAAATGAGCACCTAATGTGAGTATTAATGCAGGCAGGAGCGTGTGCCTGTGGAATCAGGGAGTCACCAGAGCAGCCAAGCCAATACACAATGGAGTTTCAAACGTATCTGCTTGGCTCTTTGTGCCAAACTCCTTTCGTGCCCCCCCCCCCCCCCCCC